TTTTGAGAAACAGCTAAGCTGATTTTTCCATAGTGACTGCACATTTTACTTCCTGCCAGTAGTGTAAGAGTGTAGCAGATACATTTTCTTGTTAGCAATCTTTCGTTCAGTCTAGATTTTACTCTGCTATACACGATTCTGTAAGTTTGCTCAAGCCATTCTTTTATTAGTCATTAGCCTTTAGCTAATGATTTTAAACATCAGAATTCAACAGTTTCCTCAAAGCTCACCATGTCATGCTGTGTCATTCAGTGTGAGGATCAACTCCGCTATCCCTTTGATCATGAGAATGAGCTTGAGAGTCTGAAGTCTGCATCTGGATTCTACCCCCCTTTCCAGCTGTGAGCTTCAGTTTCCTCCTTTGTAAACTAGGGTGATGAGTGTTTTAGTTTCCTTTGGTTGTGGTAACAAATTACCACTAAGTTAGTAGTTTAAAACAACATGAATTATGTTATAATTCTGGAGGTCCAAAATCTGAAATGGGTCTCATGGGACTAAACAAGCAAGGTGTTAGCTGGGCTGGTTCCCAACCGGAGGCCTAAGGGAGCTTCCTGCCTTTCCAGGGGCGGCCACATTCCTTGGCTTGGGACCCGTTTTTCCATCTTCAAGGTCGGCAGTGGACAGTTGAGTCTTTCTCACATCATCTCTTCTGACTCTGACTATCCTGCCTCCCTCTTCCACTTCTGAAGATCCTTTCCGTCCCATTCAGATAGTCCATGATAATCCTCTTTTAAAGGCAGCCTGTCAGCAGCCCCAAACTCTGTCTGCAACCTTGGGTCTCCTTTTCCATGTAACCAAATACATTCAAAGATCCTGGGGCTACAAAATGGACATCTTTGGCGGGGGGGTGGGGGGGGGAGAGAGACTTATTCTGCTTAACACAGTAGTAATGCCTTTCTCATCAGTTTTTTTTCCCCAAGATTATTTGCTTTATCATGTTCTTTCCATTCTTCAAGACAGTTATAAAGACTGAAACTTATCTACAAGTTCTCTCCACTCACTTACTCAACAAAGACCCACTAAGTTGAATGACTGCAATAAAACCTACACAGTAAGCACTCAGTAAGTGTTGCCCATTATCACCTTAAAATAACTCAAGGGCAATTTATAATCCTCTTGGGCAATTTGGTTGCAGCCACAAGAATCCACTTCTCAGTGCGAACTCCATGTGTTTCATCTTCCTGAGGTTCACCAGCACTGCCTTCTTTTCTAGCTATCAAGTCCAACGTGGCGTCCCCATCACCTGCAGGTCTGTGTTAATACAGAGGTAGAAATGGAGCACAGGGCTCCCTTCCTGCCTCAGCTACCTGCTGGGAAACGCTCAGCAGGACCAGGAAGAACTCAGCGGCCTGTCAGGTTCTAGGGACAGACCCTGGTCGCTGGGTCTGTACTGTGTCCAGCAGTTATTCCTGGTTCCAGCTGCCTGAAGGGTGCAGCAGGGCTTTGAAACACTCCTGCCTGGCTGTCTGCACTTCCTCTATCCACCAGCCCCCTGAGGTCTCTAGGGCCAGTCTCACAGAAATCACTGATTTCAGACTGAAGTGGGAGCTGGTACTTAAAGTGGGCTGCGTCCCCATGGTACCGCACCTGCTCTGGGAGGTGTGCACTCCCGCTTCCATGTCTGTGGGGCTCCGCCTGACGTCAAGCATGAAGTGAATAAACATAAGGCCTGCCAAGTTCCCAAGGTTAAGTTCTGAGCAGTGAGCCTGGTATTACTGATTAGAAGGCAAACTGGGTTGGCACTTTTTTTTTTCCCGTCAAATAATTATCTTCTATTATAGTATTGGTTCTCAGTTTTAATATTTCCCTTCTTTTTATCTATAATTGTGTTCAACATTCAGAGTCAGGTCAGGGACTGAGGTTCCGGACAGTGCTCCCCTCTATTTTGTCAGTTGCACTCCACCAACGACAATAGTGATTTTGTCACTGCTGAGACTGGAGAACCAAGTCCTTCTCCATGCCAGTGCCTGGTGCTCAGGGTCGGGGTGCTTGAAGACAGAAGCCCTAACTCCAAGGTCTTCTGCTCCAGAACAGCAGGCGGGCCTGGGCTCAGCCTGCAGTCTGAGAAGTCTGTGTGAGAGGGAGGGCAGGAGACCTGAGCCAGGGTGTGAGTGCAGAGAAACTGGGGCTGGGGGAGAGGGGGGTTGGGTGTAGGAATGGAGAGGAGGGCTCCACTGGGACCCTCTGTACGGGCTGCTCTTCCCCAGGTTTTTCACCTCAGGCCATTCTGTTTTCAGTCCTGACCATAAAGCATGTTAATGGATACCTCCAGCCTTCTCCCTGAGCCTCATTTCTTCCTAACACAGAAAGGCAAACCTGAGTGGAATGACTCAAATTTTTGCTCCCTACTCCTGAGGAGGGGAGACAGACTCTCCAGTCCTCTCTCCTGAAGGCATGATCCTTCTTCCCACCACGCTGGCCCTACCACCCTCTAACAGGAAACCACACTCCTGCTGCCCAGCAGGGGGCGGGGACGATTCTCTTTCCTTTCTCAAAGGCCTGTTCACATCCTCCCATTCATTAGCTCTTGGCCTCCATTTCCTTCTGTCACCTCAGAAATCATCGTTTTTTTCCTTCCTGGCAGCTTCCCAGCTTCTTTCATCTAAGAACAATCCATCCTCGATAATAAAGCAGGGCGGGGAAGGAAAGCACCCTCAGCCCTTTCATCTTTTTCTGGCCCAGGAAAAGTAGTTGTCACCTGGACAGATAAAACCGGCATGTAGCCTGTGTTCCCACAACAAACTTGTTGAGGCTTTCCTGCCCTAAGTCCCAGTTCTCATATCTCCAGGTAAGTGAAGAGTTCCTTGTGGTTCCCTCTAAAAATTGCCCTGCAAGGGCCCTCCCAGGTGGCGCAGCGGGTTAAAGCACTGCACTGAGAAACTAAAGCCACTTCCGCATGAGTTCGATACCCGCCTGCCCCGGAGGTGACCACATGGCGTGGCAGACCTCTCCTGACCCACCCGCTGCTCCCCTCAGCAGTGTACTTCGTCGATCTGCCTGTTCTGCTCCCCACTCTGTCTCTGGTGAATCCTCTCACCCTCTGCATCTCTGGCCTGTACCCCAGTTCTATATGAATAAATAAATCTTGAAAAAAAAAATTGCCCTGCAAAACTATCAGCATTGCATGCCATCTAGACTGTCTGCATTGTTCCTGGTCAAGGGCATGATGGGGAAGGAAGTTTGGTCACATATGCTGGCGATCCCACTCAACCAAATCCTTCATTAGCTACATCCTCTCACTAGAGGCTGGTTGTCTGGCTTTGTCAAGAGCTGCGGGAGATGAGACATCTCATTTATTTGGCTTTGTCACTTTTACTTAGAGACTTTCTGCGTTTATTTTATGGCTCAAGAGATTACAAAAAGAAATACGATGTAATTTAATGAATAATTATACTAAAAATGACATAAGTAAGATCTGAGTTTAGCAAGTACGGATATCTCAGAAGAAAAGAAAAACGTGGCAGGAACATGAATGAGGCATGATAATCGTGACAGGAAGAGGAAGGGTGAGAGAGGAATTCAGTGTCCTGACTGGACAACTGTAGGCTTCTATGCTGCACAAAGGAACAGACACTGGCTAGATAAAAATTGTCTGATGAGAGCTCAGCTTTGCCTTTTATGCAGGGAAGGTTTGAAAATCGGTATAAACTCTCACAAAAGAACATCTTTAAAACGGCAATCGGGTCTCCCTGGTGGCACAAGGGATTAAATCTTAGCACAATAAGCTATCAGCAGCCACTGAAGCACAACTTCAATCCCTACCAGGGAGCTGACCCACGTGGTGCAGCAGACCTCTCCTGTCTTACCCACTCTCCCCTCAGCAGTATATTTCAGTCAATCCACCTGTTCTGCTCCCCACTCTGTCTCAGTGAATCTTCTCACCCCCATACCTCTGGCCTATACCCCTGTTCTTGGAAGCATAAATAAAATAAATCTTAAAAAAAAACAAACAACAAAAAAAAAACCTGTAATTGTTAGTGCTATGTAGACTGTACAACAAATTTTAGATTAAGTTACAGCAAGGCTGGGTTTTTGTCATTCCATGAGGCTAACTAGAGATGTTTCTGGCAATATTTATCATGCATGAGCTAAGGTAGTATGTGTGGGCCGATAGAATCTTCTGTAAATGAAAAGGAGTTACGCCCCCAAACTTTTTGGCAAGCCCACCATTCTGGGCCAGTGTCTCTGACTCTCCCACATTCAAGGAAATAACTGTCCATGCCCCAGATCAGTAGGGAGGAGCTGCCAGAGGAATGCAGAGCACTGGGGCCTTGCAACTCTGTCTCCAGTGCAGTTGACCACTGCCAGGAATGGACTGGGCCATTCAGTCCATAGCAAGGTGGCTATCCATGTGTCGCCAGGAGAGTTTTAAGATCATGGTCATAGAATTTTCAACCACATTAATTTTCATTTAACAGTGCTTTCCAAAAGAGCCAGAGCAGGTCTGGAGAAACATGTGCTCCACATGTCAGCAGCCCAGCAATCTGAATCAGCGCCCAGGAAGAATCTGTTGGCAAAGTCGCCTTTCTACTCTCCTAAAGGGAGTCATCAAAGCTAGCGCCAAAACTAAGTTCAGGCGCAGATCTGGAGGGATGTTTACTGACCAGAGCATGCAGCCCTGGAGGAAGAAGAAAACAACACCCCACACAGCCAAAAAAAAAGGGGGAGGGGGAGCCCCCAAACTGTTTGTTGTTCAAGTTTTCTATAAAAATATGTTTAGATACAATTAAAATTCAGTTTATGGTTATTCTACTAATCTCATTGAGCCTGTGGTCACTCTGAGTGAGTGTTACTATCTGCAGACGTCACTGGACGCTTGTGGTGGCTGGGGGGTGGAAATGGTCTGTTTGGGAAGGTTACATGAGATCCCGTTCATCTCAACAGCAGTCATGACTTTGCTGAGATCTGGCTCTTCAGTCAGCCTCCTCCTCTGCTTCCTAGCAGGCCCACCCCCTCCCACAACAGGGAAGCTGGAGGGGTGGTTTCTGTGAGTATGTTACCTTCCATTCCTGGTATCATGTTGCCTCATGTTCTTGATAAAATGAATCTTCTTAAAGTTCTTTGGTCTGGGCGAACCTGAGAGAGTTCGACATCTGAAAAATAAAATCATTCCAGAAACACCGTCAGATGCCGGTTGGACAGCTGAGAATAAAATCATTCCAGAAACACCGTCAGATGCCGGTTGGACAGCTGAGACATCTCCACACAAAGACAGGAAGGAAAGAGCAGAGGCACGGTTGAGTCACCCTAAGGATAATGAGGACGACACGGCTACACGGCTGGAAGCAAGGAAGCTTTAAAAAAAAAGCCAATGACAGACAACTTCCTTGATAATACTGATAATAATTATATGGGTTGCTGAAAAGCCAGCTAATGAAAATTATTGTCTTCAGTTACAATAACATTATCTACACAGTTTCCAAAGACCTCATTCTTTATTGTCACCTTAAAAAGAATCCCCCTGTATGAACACTGGTAATGGGAACACAAAACTGTAAATTTAAAGACTGGGGGTGGGTGGTCAGGTAGAGACACTGGAAAATTCAGTTTAAAAAGAGTCTCGGATCATTTTCTTCCATAGCAGGAGTGTGCCCTGATCTACCTGGATGGCTGCCCTGTGGCTGGAAGGTACAGCTTCACTGTGAATGAAAATCAGACACCTGGCTACAGGCTACAGACTGTTTTTTTTCTTTTTTCATTTTAAGGTCAATCATAAATAAATATTTGTTGTGCAAAATGACTTAGATTCAGATGCTTTTTTACCCTGGATTTTATGACCTTTGCTTGTACTACAGGGCTGACAGAACAGAACACAGGTTGAAAAGATCTTATTTTATGTGAATCTATTTTTTGTGTATATCTTTTTCTCATAGTTACCTGGCAAACTCCAAATTATAGAATGGCAACAGAAAAAAAAAAAAAAACACCAGAGAGTTAAAAAATTTTTGTTTTTCCTTGAGAAAGGCAGTTGTGACTTTTCTGTTTGGGATTTTGCTACCAACAGGATTTTTCACTTAAACCTCCCTGACCCTGGGCCACCTGCACAGTTCCAATCCTGAGGTGTGGGTCCCTGAGACCTTGTTCCTCAGGGGCTGAGTTCCAGGGAAGTGGAGCCCCCTTTCCAAAGCCACACTGAGGTCTGCACTGAGCCATCACTACCTTAAGCCAGTTCTGACCTTTGAGGTTCCGCGTAAGAGAGATGACCCAACAAGGAGGTACAATTGTGTGCACGGGTGTGGAGGCACCGTGGGGTGCAGGCTGGCAGAATGGGTGTCATCAGAGACCTGGACAGCTCGTCCAATCTTTACTCCCCTGCGAGAGCGCAGTTCAAGGGACAGTGACTGACGGCCCCAGGCCAGACCTCGAGGGCCAGACCTCCAAGTGCCCTGACCTACCCTTCTTGCAAGGACCCGTCTTCCTAGGAGCCCTTTCTCAGAAAGTACTGAAAATTATTTTTCTCCGTAAGAGACTGCAACTTAAATGGTAATTTAACTTAAAAAAAAAAATCACACTGCAGGGAAGGAGGGCAGGCTGAAGTTGAGACATCGCATCAGTTATGTCCTAGGGTTTAATCAGGAAAGGGGGGTGTTCCCCAGGCCTTGGGCAGAGAGGAGGGAGAGCCCCCTCTGGTCATGTCTGTTGCATCTGGGCTGGCTCCACAGCCCATGCCCCATGCTTCAGCAGAAGCCATCGTGTTCCCAGGGGGCACAAACTCACCACTGGCCTGGACACATCACTGTTAATATTGCAATTTCACCCCAGCGTGATTGTCAGAATTAAATGCGATGATGTGTACTCCAGTGACACACCCCAACACAGATGTACACTCTGACCTGTACATAGACAAATATTCACAAACGAATGTCAAGTGTTGTGATTATTAAGAAACTATCAGCTATGAAGGCTGGTTACCATTTGCCCCCCTTCTTCCTAACATGGTAGCCCTTAGGAAGGATCCTTAACTCTTGCTTTAAATAGACTTTTAAAAACTAGCAGAACGTTGCCAGAGGATATTCCAGACAGGGTTAGAACAGTTCCTCTGACAAGCTTCTAAAGCCAGAGTTAGCCAGCATGAGCCTGGAGGGCATAGTGCCCACTCTGCCTTCTTGGGGCAGCCTTCTAGAAGCAGCCCCAGGGCCTCCAACTGCCTTAGAGCCACAGGTAACCCAGGATCCTATCTCTCACACTAAGAAGGTTCTAGAAACAGCAGAGAGAATCTCAAAGTGTAAAGGTGTGTTCCCACTGGTTTCTGGACAAGACCAAGTATTCTCGAGTGTTCTCACACCTTTAACCTGCTTCCCCTAAAGGGCAGACCTTCCTGGCACAGCTGTGGGGGGCACAGTGGGCCAAGAGCTGGACTGGGAGTGGGTTCGGGCACTTCACAGACCTGCTGCCTCCCCAAAGCGGCAACGAGCAGCAGGCCCAAACCCTGTCGCATGGAGGGGTGATGGCCTGAGGCGGCACCTTCTCCCTGTCATTGTTCTCCAGATCTGAATACGAAATTCCTAACTTTCCTCTGAAACTGAAATGTCAGAGCTGACCCCTGAGGTCTGGCCTGGGGCCGTCAGTCACTGTCCCTTGAGCTGTGCCCTCAAGGGGAGTAAAGACTGGACTGCTGTGCAGGTCTCTCTGATGCCTCCCATTCTGCCAGCCTGCACCCCACTGTGCCCCCACACCGGTGCACCCTTTTGCCCTATGGCAAAATGGCCACAGGGGCGGTGAGTAACAACAGTGTTGGGGTGGGGTGGGGGGTGACAGCAACAGTTCCAACACCTAGACAGGCTAGGATGATGGGCAGGCAGCAATGGCTGCCATACATGCTGCAGATGAACTGAGATTTTTCTGAAAATTTTTAGTAGATGTCCTGACTCATTTCTAGGGTACTTGTTTCCACCCAGCCAGTGGAAAACCTCTCAGTCCATCCCTCTGGTTTTTTTTTTTTTTTTAAAGATTTATTTATTTATTCGTACAGAACTGGGGTACAGGCCAGAGTTGCGGAGGGTGAGAGGATTCACCAGAGACAGAGTGGGGAGCAGAACAGGCAGATGGACGAAGTACACTGCTGAGGGGAGCAGCGGGCGGGTCAGGAGAGGTCTGCCGCGCCATGTAGTCGCCTCCGGGGCAGGCGGGGATTGAACTCATGCGGAAGTGGCTTCAGTTTCTCAGTGCTGTGCTTTAACCCGCTGCGCCACCAGGGAAGGCCCACCATCCCTCTGGTTTTAAATGCTCATTTCTTGGTGCTCTGGTGGAGATGAGACTCTGACGTACAGCTCGACAGAGGATCTTTAACCTCAGCACCCAACTCTTCACGGCAGAGCTGGTGATCTAGGCCTTCCTTCCACGAGCTGTTTGTTGTCACGTTATGTTTTGAAGCATTCAGCTAAGCCACTGGGGAATCGCAGCAGCACTTGAAGAGAACTGTGGCGTTAGCAACAATTGCCAAGGAAACTGGAAGACTGAACACTCAGGTTGTGGCAGGTTAAGCAAAGAACGAATTAATTTCAAAGCTGCCTGCATTCACGTGTAAACATTCATTTAAAAACACAGATTTTAAGTGATGCAAAATTAAGTTAGGATGGAATTAAATTAAAAACTAATTTAATGAAAGATTAGCTGTTTCTTGTTAGCACTGATTACAGGATACACTTAATTATGCAAAAGGTTTTTAATAGATGCCTTGGAACCATCTGTTCAATGTGCGGGGTTTAAAGCAAGTTGGGCTAATAGCCTTCCACCCCCTCACTTCCCAGAAACACTTCAGTGTCATTATTGGTACATTTATTGCACAGAATTGGGGAACTGAAAAGGGCCACAGGGATTAGCTGCCTCTCCCATTTTGTAGATGAGAAAACTGAGGCCCCCGAGAAATTAGAGCATTTCCAAGGCTCCCCAACCAGTTAGTAGAAGGAGATCAAGAACGCAAGTCCCCTGACTCGTAACCTAAGATCCCTGCCGAAATGCTGAGCTTATTGAATTTCTCAGGAAAGAGTAAGCTCCAAAGTAAATAACAGCACTATTTTGAAATTTTTAAAACATCCATTTGGGAAAATAAAAACATCTTAAACTGCGCAAACTCCTTTGCATTCTGACTTTTTCAAATTGACACAGATTTGTTGGACATTCAGCACCATATTCTGTGAGAGTTGGATAAACTTCTGGTTGAGGTACCCTTAATTTTTTTGAGTCCTTCTCACCCTCCCCCCATGTAAGGCTCCTAATTAAAATATCATTTAATGTGCACAAAATTATATATACATATTCACATCTTTTTTCCTTTTGTGCATTTTTTTCATCTCGGCAGTAGTCCCCATGGATGTCCCACCACCACTTCACCCCTGTGCCATCACCACTGTCCCGTGTGCTCTCCTGATTGTGCTCTGACAAGACGGAGGGGTGGAGGGTTGAGCCTGGGGGGTTTATGAGAGGAGGAGACTGACAGAGAGGAACACAGCACCCTGCCCTCCTCAGAGACACCCCCTGCTCCTGAAATACCTATGGAAAAAATTAGTATTTTTAGCCTGTAACTTTTTTTACCTGGTTTCTGACTCAGTCACTATAATGCTCAAAGGCGCATGGCTTCTGCAGCCTGTGGGGACCCCAGTGGCTTTGTAGTTCTATTCATTGTTATTTGGGGTAGGGGTGACCTTACCTGCTCAAATGCCAAAGCCACTCGGTGCCTGGTTCTTTTCCACTCTCAGATTACTTTGGCCCGCAGCCAGTTCCCTAATTTGACTTAAAGTTTTTGGTAAGACTCCTTCCAGGAAACAGCCCTTTGCTAACATTTAATAGTGGCTGATAGAAGACTTGCCCCCGAAACCACACCAGTCATGCAGCCATAAGCCCCGCCTCTGAAGATGGGCCCAGAGGCTCCACACATTTTCAAAAAGATATCAGAAGTAGAAATCTGACTGTCGGGCCCTCCCTGGTGGTACAACAGGTTAAAATCCAGCACTCTGAAGTTATTAGTAGCCACTGCAGCACGAGTTCAATTGCCAGCCAGGGAGGTGACCCACAAGGCGCGGCAGACCTCTCCTGACTCTCTCTCTTCAGCAGTGTATTTCAGTCAATCTGCCTGTTCTGCTCCTCACTCATCTCTGGTGATTCCTCTCACCCCCCTCACCTCTGGTCTATACCCCAGTTCTTGTATGCATAAATAAATCTTTTTAGAAAAAAGAAAAAGAAATCTGACTGTCCAGACCTGCCTTTCTCTTTGGCATTTCTTTAGTCAAGGTCACAAGAAACTTTCCACCAGACCCCGGGCCTATCTGTGTGCCAGTCTTCAACCAGGTGGCCTGTGGACAAGGCCTGTAACCTGGGTATTGAAGCTCCAGGTAGGGCAGGAGCCTTTCCACAGCAGTATCTGCCCAGGCTCAGAGAGAGGAGCCTGGGGCCTGGAAGTCCTGGCTAGGGGCCGAGGCACAAGGAGAGGAGATGTAGCTCCGGGGGAGCTGGTCTGGCCAGTGGGATTCCTCCCGTGGTCTCTGCCTCTGCCACCCGCTGCACATTCCCTGTGAAGTCACACTGTGAACCTTGCCTCATCTCTTGCCAGAGAGGCACCCCCAGGCTGGCCAGCCTGGCTGGGGTGGACTAAAGGAGGGCCAGATGAAGCAGTGCAGGTTTAGAGAGAAAACTGCTGGTCACAGCTCACAAATTACTGTGACCCCCAAAAAGATGACTCCCAAGTACTTTTATTTATTTGTGCATACAGAACTGGGGTACAGGCCAGAGGTGCAGGGGGCAAGACGATTCACCAGAGACAGAGTGGGAAGCAGAACAGGCAGATCAATGAAGTACACTGCTGAGGGGAGCAGCGGGGAGACAGGAAAGGTCTGCCAAGCCATGTGGGTCACCTCCGGGGTGGGGATTGAACCAGCACGGAAGCAGCTGCCGCTAACTTGCAGTGCTGTGCTTTAACCCACTGTGCCACCAGGGAGGGCCCTGAAGTACTTCTCTAATCCTGAGGGCAAAAGAAAGGATGCCCAAAGGGAGCACTCGTAGAAGTCCTCAACAAGCTTCCCCAGTTATTAGCTGTGGAGGGATGTGGGGCACCTCCTACCATGTCCAAGACTGACTAGTACATGAGCACCCTGAAAAAAGGACATTGAGGGGCTCCCTTTCTATCAAAGCACAGGTGGCAAAATGACATGGAAACCACAAGGGGAAATGCTCAATTTCTTATGCAAACTGGGCTATTCCAAAACTTATAGGGGGCTTTATAGCTTTCTAGTTCGAATGGCCCTCAGGTTTGGGTTTCCAAACTACAAGTCTGGGGATCATGTGGTCATTTTAAAAATGGAATTCTGGTAGACAGTAATTTAAAAAAAAAAAAAAAATCATGGCCCTCCCTGGTGGTGCAATGGGTTAAAGTGCAACACTGCGAAGCTAGTCACCAGCAGCAGCTTCAGCACAAGTTTGTGCAGGCTGTTAGCATGAACAAAAACCAGCGCTGAAAACTCACCTCCGTAGAGGGGCATTCTCCTCAATATCTTCTAGGGTCTCCAAGGATGATCTCTGTGAGATGAAGCGGCGTCTACAGAAAGGAGAAAAATATCTAGATGTTAAAACTACATTGTAGGGCCCTCCCTGGTGGTGCAGCGGGTTAAAGCACAGCAGTAAGAAACTAAAGCCACTTCCGCATGAGTTCAATCCCTGCCCCAGAAGTGATCCACATGGCGCGGCAGACCTCTCCTGACCCGCCCGCTGCTCCCCTCAGCAGTGTACTTAGTCAGTTGGCCTGTTCTGCTCCCCACCCTGTCTCTCATGAATCCTCTCACTGCCCCTGCACCTCTGGCCTATACCTCAGTTCTGTATGTACAAATATATATATCTTTTAAAAAAAAAAAAAACCTACATTGTAAAGTGATCAGGCATTTTTGCACATCTACAACTGTTCTAAAAAATAAAAAGCCCATTAAAACAAATGAATAAACCATGTCACTAAGACCTGCCGTGTCCTAGCCAGCAGCTGGAGTGCCTGGCTTATCTTGCCTTACTGACTCCTTGAGTTTCTGTTTGGTTACAGGGCAGATTTGTGGTGATCAGGGAAGTGACTGGTTTTTATTTTTTTATTGCTGCAACTTCCCACAGATGAAAAAAAGACAAGAGGCCTCTTGTCATGTACAGTACAACTTGGGCACTTTGTGCTTTGCGTCTGCGGCATTCAATGGTACTGTGCAGTATTCAAATATCATTAGAGAAATGAGGCTGGTGAGCTGATAAATATTAAATTTTAAAACCATTAAGTAAAATCTCAACATCATTAGGATGCAATAAGAAAGTTACAGTCTCTGGGTGATGATGCTGTCAAAAGAAACCAGAAACAAGAAAGAACGATTCCTCTGGGAGAATTTTCTGGACACCAGTGAGAGAAGTGTCAGGACATGATTAAGCAAACCATTAACTCTTTCAGGTTGCTACAGCAAACCACCTGCTAAAACTTCCTCAATCTAGTTTCTTCTGCCAACCAAAATAAGAACAGGTCCTTGGGTTAACCGAGGATATCTGGCTCAGGGGCCAGGTGGTGAAAACTTTATAAGATCCACTTGAACAAGAACCATCATTTCTTAGTAAATGATTTGGCGGGGGTGGAGGGGGGAGTAGAGAGAAAAAAAATCGGATTAGGTTTTTCCTTTGGGTGAAGAAAAAAGAACAAAAAAACAAAGGTGGTTTATTTGGTATTACATCTGACAAACTTTAAGCTAAAAATATGCAATTATGGGAGGGGAGGGGCAGACAGCACAGTGGGTTTTGGTGGGGACTGAGGGTGCTTTGGTGATGCAAGAACTGTGGTGACCCCACGTGAGGGGAGACATCCTGTATTGTCAAAAAATGAAAAGGATATAAAACAATGGTACTTCATTGAAAAAAAAATACATCTTAAAGATCAATTTGAAAAATGCAATTATAGTCTTCTTCCAAAGAATAAAAAGTGAGACAAATGTTTTGCTATCTGTACTTTTCCTACCAGCTACGGAGTCCTCTTGCTTTGTATTTTACTTTTAACATTCAATTTTTTTTTTGGATTATGTTTTATATTTTAATAAGACAATCAGAAAGATCACTTTGGCAAACTCTTCAAAGGTTTGTCAACTTACTAAGCACCTCTCTTAATCTGATGATATTCAAGTCCTTTCTAAAAATACCACACACCTTCCTTTTCTCTCCAATTGAAAACTGTTCTGATTCTCTCAGGTCCTCAGAGTCCTCCAACATCCCCTTCAGCATCTCCATGACAGACTAGACCTTTCCAAGATCTGCAGTCTCCCTTTGCATCTCACTTACACTGAGCTTCCATTTCCATAACTGCCAGACTCCCAGTCTCCCTGAGGTGATAGTTGTAGGGGGGGAGACCAGTGTTACCAAAGAGCAGTGCAAAGGGCCTGAGGTGGTGGGTGCAGGGTACGTAAGAGTCAGGCTTTTGTGCTGTTGGCCGCTGCAGCCTTGAATGCAGGAGGCCCTTGGGAGCATGGGCGTGGGGTGCCACGCCTGATTACAGGCAGCTGGTGTATGATGTGGGCGTGCATAAGTGGGCACGCCTGAGGCTGGGGAGTGTCAGAGCACCATGGGCAATGGAGAAGCAACGGAACAGCTCCATGAGGAAGAGGCCATGAGGAAGAGGCCATGAGGGGAGAGCCCAAAGATGAGAAAGTAAAGATTCACGGGGGGCCAGGAGGCCTGCCAGCCTCCCGGCCTTGCCAGCCCGTGGCCTTGCCCAGAGCAATTGCTGAAGAAAGATCATTAAAGCCTGAAAAAGCCACGAAAGGCTCCGAGATGCTTCTTTACCCGTCTCCCGACAGAGATCCTGCCCTATGCTTGCGGGCACTATCTTTACAGGAGGGTAATCCACAAGTTAATAGGGTTTCCCTGTGCATGCCTGTCAGCCAGGGGGTGCTGCTCACCAGGACCCCTGTGACCGTGCCCTGCAGCTGTGAGTTTGGAGTTGGGTCATGGGTTGAAATGTGGCCCCTCCAAGTTTTAGGTCAGACACCCAATTACCACACTCCCACCAGTGACAGTGCTCTGGCTCCCCATGTTCCCCTTCCCAAGGAAAATGCAATCCCACCCACGTATGCGTGTGTGCTGGGTCAGATGTACTTGATTTCAATTTTGGGATCTGGAAGTTTGGTGGTGGTGTGTGTGTGGGGGGGTCTTAGAACACTCCTAATACATGAGCCTCAATTTCTCACCTATGAAATGTGAAAACAAGAGCAACTAAGAAAAGGAGAGATGTATGAAGTCCTTGGCACAGGTAGTTAATGGCCAGTAGCTACCGGGCTCTGATGACCCTCCAGTTTTCTCGACTAACCACACCCTTGCTCAACTGACCAGGGCCAGGCTGACGGGCCTGGTGATATAGAGCTCCCCCTATTAAAGGGGGAGCTACAGCATTATCTACCCCGCTTAATCATGGCTGGAGCTGAGCCCCAGGTGAATCTGTATTACATGAAGGGCAGGTGGGTTCCAGAAAAGGAGAAAAGAAGAGCACTGGCCCCTGTATCCTGACCTGCACCCTGGTACTGATGGGAAGGAGACACGGGGAGAGACATGTAGAGACCTACGGGTGAGAGGTGGAGGGAGGCCGACAACGGCAGTGTTATCTTAAAACAGCATCTCCTTTGGTCCCAGCTTTTTGGGACCTGCTTCAGAATCCCTTTCCTATGGTTTCCTACCAGAAGGTTCCTTAGACATGTGGCAAGCTTTGATGCCTTGGTGAGGTTGCTTTGGGCCAACCCTATCTGGCTGGACATTTACCCAAAAGGAGATGGGTAATTGGGGGTGTTTATCGGAACACTTATTTTCTTTATTCTCTTTGTTCTGCATGCACAAACATTAAAGTCCCTTCACACTTACAGTATGCTTTGCCTTTGTGCACATGTTGGCTGGATGTCTTCAAAGTATGCAAACTTAGGGGCCCAGGCTACCCCTTGCTTGCATGCTAACACTGGCTCTGGTTCCTCCTCTAATTTTAGTTGGTAACAGGGTCACCCCCAAATGTCTTAGGCATGAGCCCACCCAAGACAGGTGCTCCACCCATGCTACACCCCTTCTGGGTGTAACTGACTCAACGTCACATTTACTGATGCACTAGCCACTCATAAAATTAGCGCCTCTCCTCTCCACATGATCTCACTGAATGCCAGTGTCTCCACCACAGTCAAAAAGCTAGTTATTAGGGCCCTCCCTGGTGGCGCAGGGGGTTGGGACGCAGCACTGCAAGCTGGCCGCAGCTGCTTCAGTGCAGGTTTGATCCCCTGCTCTGGAGGTGACCCACATGGCGTGGCAGACCTCTCCCAGCCCGCCCGCTGCTCCCCTCAGCAGTGTACTTCATCAATCTGCCTGTTTTGCTCCCCACTTTGTCTCTGGTGAAGCCTCTTACTGCCCCTGCGCCTCTGGCTTGTCCCCCAGTTCTGTATGAATAAATAAATCTTTTTTTTTTAAAGGTAGTAATTAAAGTAAGAATTACTTTGTTTACTTTTGCATAATGTTCTTAATTTTAAATCAAAAGTGAAATAGTAGTTTAAGTATGTGTACTGCATTGTGATCAGAAATAACTTGGCAGGCCAAAATGTATGCATTTTATTTTGTAAAACAATTTATTTATTTATACGTACAAGAGCTGGGGTTCTGGCCATCGATATGGGAGGGGGCAATGGGACTCACCAGAGACAGAGTGGGGAGCAAAACAGGCAGATCTACTGAAATACACTGCTGAGGGGAGAAGCAGGCAAGGCAGGAGAGGTCTGCTGCACCATGTGGAGCAGCTCCCTGGCAGGGATCGAACTCATGCTGCAGTGGCTGCAGATAGCTTCACAGTGCTGTGCTTTACCCTGTTGCACCACCAAGGAGGGCCCAACATAAGCATTTTAGATCCTGGAAAGCTCAGCAAATTCTGTAGAACAACCGTATAATGTTGAATGTTTTGCTTAATCTGCAACCAGACTTAAGCAACTGCTGCTCCGGGGACGCCCCTCCTTCAACGACCCTAACACAGGTCCACCAGGAGGCTTGATGGGCAGCTCTTTGGGCAAAAAGCCAGACGAGGCCCCACCAGGGATCTGGGTTCAGCCTCCTGGAACTGCAAGCCTGGCCTGTTGGGAATCAGCACAAGCATGAGGCAGGCTTAACTCCTGGAAGGGGAGTCCAAGGACTCACCCAAGAATTCCACTAACAACCCCTCAAGCTTCCCCAGTGTTTGGGGCTGCCTCCGCTCCTCAGGAGCAGCATGGTCCCAGCTAGAAGGGCCAAGCGAACCCCATGGTGAACACACCAGGGCCCTTCCTGGCAGGGGTCCTGCCGGCTTCTGTGCAACTCAAACCGGGGTGCACACCCCAGGTGAATGGGCCGCTCAGAGCAGCACACAAGCTGACAGTTCCCTCAGAAAGCTGCATCTAGCTATTTCCAAGCTGGAAAAACAGATGCACTTTTTGGGAAAATTAGCACAACAGAGTAACAGAATATAGCAGAATGTATCTTTCTATCTTTCTTTAAAAACAAAAAACTAGGGCCTCCCTGGTGGCACAAGGGGTTAAG